AGGTGATGAGCCATGTACTTGGGTTCCTGCCACCCATGTGTGCTATCCGGAGTGAGTTCCTGCCTCCTGGCTTTGGCTGACTCAGCCTGGCTGTTGCGAGCATCTGGAGAATGAACTATCATTGGAAGATCTCTATCTGTGTGTGTGTGTGTGTGTGTGTGTGTCTGTGTGTGTGTGTGTACTTCTACACAAATAAACATTTTGAACAATGAAAGGATAAAGGAGTTGCGGAACTTGCCTGCGACATTGCAGCACGAGGCCTTGGCCCTCCCTTGTGTCTCTATTGTCCCCCTTGTTCCCGTCATTAAATAGAAATGAAATGAGAGGGACAGCATGAAGATCCGTCTCTGCTAGGTCATTTAAAGTGCGGATTTTTGTGTGTTTTGGTTGAGTTCCAAGGTTTGAGGATCGTAAAAGATGACCCAGATACGAAACACAATGCGAATTGTAGTAGTCGGAAGATAAAGGACCATACACGGGGAAAATGGGATCCCCAACGGGTAGCTAAAATGGCATAGGTTTTGAGTTATTGACATAGAACTGATGAAAACAAATCAGAAGATTGTGTACAGCACACCCGTACACTGATGCCTGGAGCAGTGGCGGTCACCACACAGGAAGTAGCTCTTCACGGAGGGTTCCCCGTGTCTCTCGCTTCCACACCTTCCTACTGTCACCAGCAGGTGTGACTGGAGCTGCAGAAGGGCTGTCCTCTGAGCGCACGTGCATGCTGGTCCCAGACAGCCTGGTGCATCCACACAGGGCTACGGTTTCCACTAACAAGTCCACATGCAGTGCCCAAAGTTGAAGGGACCCTCAGTCCCTCGGGAGCTAAGGGGGCTGAGCCTCGTCCTGTCCACAGCCTGAGACCCTCCGGGCAGAGCCAGGAGTTGTGTGAGCTCCAGAGAACCAGGGCTCAAAGGCAACCTCCTTGGAAGCAATCACTCAGCAGGTGTGGGGTGGGGCGGCCCTGGGGCTGGAACCCAGCTTCTCCCACCTTGTTTTTCTGTTTCCACTTCTCCAAAAGCAGCTGTCTGGATCACTGCAAACACAGCCAGCGCTGTTTTCCTGCGTCACAGGAGGCCCTGGGCTCCAGTCACGCCTCAGGATGGTGCACTAAAAATATCCTCCCCGTGCTATTTTTAAGATCCTACAGGCTGCTAGTCACAGGCCACAGGAGGGGAAGTGCTGGGTTGCCAGGGGCCCTGGGGTCGGTTCAGAAGCTGGACATGCTCACACACATACACGCATGCGCACACACACACACACACATGCACACACATGCACACACATACACAGGCACACACACACATACTCTCCTTGACCATAGCAGTTAAAGGTCCACGTTGCAGGTGCAGCCTTGTCTTTCTCTGGAGACCCTGCCAGGCACACGGGCCCACCACCGAGTCCCCTGTGTGGGACCTCAGTGCCCAGCTGTGTGCTCCCTGTCCTCACTGGGCATTCTCAGCGCCTTTCACACAGGGGCTTCTGGCCAGTGGGGAGCCGGATACGCACACGTGTCGGCAGTCAAAGCATTGTCACGTCCATTGCCGTCCCTGGTCCTCTTGGCACCTGTGCGGGATGAATGTTGGCATCCCCGCGCTGCAGCGCAGGAAGCTGAAGGAACACTGGTGCGCTCGCAGCAGCAGCACTGTGAGGGAATGAGGCGCAAGCAAGCTCCACTGGTGTGTCTGAGGTGGGACGAGCCGCACCTTCCTTCTCGGTCTCCTACAGGCTGGCCACACCCTCCATTACAGTCACACCGCACACCATTCACTCACTCACTTGACAAGCATTTCCTGTGCGCCCACTGTGGGGCAGGCCCTCTCTGTGCTAAGCCTGGAGATAAATGACGTCATCCCCGGGAGGGGACGGGGTCAGGACAGGCCTGCAGTGCATGGAGCAAAGGGAGGAGTGGAAGGCTTCAGTGGGGAGGGGGGTGTCATTGTTTTGGGGTCTGAGCACGGAGCCGGAAGAGCAGTCCAGGGGTACAGAGAAGCCTGGGCCAGGCAGGCCAGAGCAGGGAGCCGAGGGGGACTGAAAACAGGTGTAAGCGGGTTGGGGCAGGAGGCAGGAGCTGTGGGCTGGGCCGCTGGGCAGGGCCAGCAGGGGAAGGCAGCCATTCTAGCTGAGGAAAGGTCACAGGTCACACTTGGAAATTCCAGAACACAGGCACTTCTGCCCCGTGGCAAAGGGGAAGGCGGTGAGTCCTTGCGTCTGGAACTTGGGTTTCACGGAGTTGGCTTTTGGTCTTAGCATTCGATGGCTTCTAGGAAGCCCACAGGAAGCAGCGTCGTTCCTGAGCTGGGCCGCATTCCCACTTTTGCAGAATTGTGACTCAGCGACGACTTGCAGCTTTTAGTTCCTGATTTACAAGAGCTATAAAAGAATGGCCAGCCAAGCCGTCCTTCTTAATACTGTCCAGCTGACAAAACTGAGTCTTATTCTACTAACAAATGTTAGGGAATCTTTGCCAAAGACAGAGAGAGAGAGAGAGATCTAGTACACTTTGATTATATCCTTAACGCAAAATTTTCTATCATGCAATGCTCTCTTTAAGGCAAAAAGCTGCTCACGTGTTCATTCTAGGTGAACGCAGTAAGTATGGGGACGATGGGATGCGGCTGGGAGCTGGCGCTTTTTCCCACTTGGGCAAAGCCTTTGGTTGAGAACAGAGATGCTGAGAAGGAGCCACGGTGTGCCTCCTGTGTCACCACCCACACATACTGTGCAACGGTGGCTACCGCTGTGCAAGCCACAGCCAGGCCGCTTTGAGGCTGAATTTCTTCAAGAGTTAGGGCCACTGGCTGGAGAATGCTTCTGCCCCGCAGGGGTCATTTGAGCTGCCATCCCCACCTCACGCCACCCTTTGCTTTCCTTGACCACAGATACGAGCACTGCCCCTGGCTGGCCCCTGGCAATGCAGAACGTTCTGGACCTCCAGGCTGCCATTTTCGGGTCTCTGTGACTTCCCATCCTGATGGCTTGGACAAGGGTCAGGGGCGTGTGCTCTCCCTTAGAATGATAGGATGGCAGCCCCATGGACTTGCCCTTTCTCTTAGAGAGCACCTGGACACAGATGTTTCCAGAATTGCGAGCGCTTCCTGGCTCCTAGCGCTCTGCCACTCTCCAGTACTGACAGCTTCTCGAGGACTGACTACTTACACCCTTTAGCTCCGAGAGCCTGGGTGCTTGCATGGAGAGGGCTGGGTAAGAAGAGGCAGTGTGGGGCCAGCGCTGTGGCGTAGCAGGTTAGGCCACTGCCTGGACACCAGCATTCCTAATGGGCACCGGTTTGAGTCCCGGATGCTCCACCTTCAATCCAGCTCCCTCCTAATGTACCTGGGAAAGCAGCAGAAGATGGCCCAAGTACTTGGGCGCCTGCACCCATGGGAGAGACCCAGAGGAAGTTCTTGCTTCAAATTGGCCCAGCCCCTGCCGTTGCTGCCATTTGGGGAGTGAACCAGCAGACGGAAGACCCCTCTCTCTCTCTTTCTCTCTGTAACTTTGCCTCTCAAATAAATAAATAAAATCTCTTTTTTTTAACAGGCAGAGTGGACAGTGAGAGAGAGAGGCAGAGAGAAAGGTCTTCCTTTGCCGTTGGTTCACCCTCCAATGGCCGCCACGGCTGGCGTGCTGGGGCTGGCGCATTGCTTTGATCCGAAGCCAGGAGCCAGGTGCTTCCTCCTGGTCTCCCATGTGGGTGCAGGGCCCAAGCACTCGGGCCATCCTCCACTGCACTCCCTGGCCACAGCAGAGAGCTGGCCTGAAAGAGGGGCAACCGGGACAGAATCCGGTGCCCCAACCAGGACTAGAACCCGGTGTGCCGGCACCGCAGGTGGTGGAGGATTAGCCTAGTGAGCCGCGATGCTGGCCTAAATAAAATCTCAAAAAGAAATAGGGAAAGAAGAGAGACAGGAGAAGGAGGGAGGAAGGATGAAAGATAAGGTGGTCCAAAATGGAATGATTACTCCTTTTTAACCATGAGACTGTTTCTCATGAAAATATTTTTTTTTTTTTTTTTTGCAGGCAGAGTTAGAGAGAGAAAGAGACAAAGAGAAAGGTCTTTCTTCCATTGGTTCACCCCCCAAATGGCTGCTACGGCCTGTGCTGCGCTGATCCAAAGCCAGGAGCCAGGTCCTCTCCTGGTCTGCCATGGGATGCAGGGCCCAAGGACTTGGGCCATCCTCCACTGCACTCCCTGGCCACAGCAGAGAGCTGGCCTGGAAGAGGGGCAACCGGGACAGAATCCTGCACCCCAACCAGGACTAGAACCTGGTGTGCCGGCGCCGCAAGGCAGAGGATTAGCCAAGTGAGCTGTGGCGCCGGCTCATGAAAATATATTTAATATACACAATTGCTACATTTTGTTTTATTCTTTCCATTTTTCTGCTCATTTTTTTAGAAAAAAAAAAGTCTCAAAGCAACTCAGATTTTCCCCCCAAACTGCTTCACACACAGTCTTGTGCTCTGTCAGTCTCAAGGGCGCAGCCACCTCTTACTGCTTCCTGTGAGTGAATGGGGAACAAGGGGGAGGAAGCAGAGAAACTCTGCCGCAGTCATGGATCCACAGTGGGGATGTGGACTGGCAGCCCTGGGGACGCGGTGGGAAAAGTCACCCAGGTGAAATGGGAAAAGCAAACTCAGGCACAGTACATACGTGCACGCCGTGTAGCCAAGGGCAACAGATTAATACCAGAGACAGTTCAGAGCCAGTGAACCCCAAAGGACCTGGCAGAGGGGAGGCAGGACCTCCCCCGGAGCCATCCCCATAACCAAGGCCCACGCGCGCTCCAGCCGCTGTTCCAGAAGGCGAGGGTGTTCTCAGCAGAGCGCCCGTGCCGTGCCAGGAGCTGTGCCTGGTGAACGTTGCTGGCCCACGTGAGCCCAGGACACACAAGCCCGCCACTGCGGACACCCAGAGTCCGGTCTCTCAAGGTCTGCTCTTGTCATCTGTGTCCGTCCACTTCTCGCGGATGTAATCAAATACCTCCAGCAGCTACTCTATAAAGACGTGTATTTCGTTCACAGTTCTGGAGGCTGGAGAATGTGGTGCCTGCCTCAGCTCAGCTCTGGGGAGCACCCCCTTGGCTGCAGGCAGCAGCAGGAGGAGTGGGACTGAGGGCAAGAGACCACATCTTGCAACAGGAAGCCGGAGAGACACAGCTCGTGGTGGGGCTCAGGGGTGCACATCAACCTTCTCGCAAGAACTACCCGGGGTCCCAGGAGAAATACCATAACCCCTTCTGAGGGGGTGCCCCAGTGACCCTCTCTCCCATCAGACTCCACCACTGAAGCATCATACCGCCTCCTAACACTGGGGCCCAAGCTTCCAGCGTGAACCTCAGGTACAAACCACACCCCAGCACAGATCTCCCAGTAGCCAGGGGCCAGGCTTCCCTGGAGGGTACATGCCTGGTGGGGGGGGTGCATCAGAGTGGGGAGAGGGCCTCACTGCTCGTTATGGAACCTGTTTGCAGCCCCGTGGAGCACCCCCTAAGTTTAGTGGTCCCAAGGCAGGAGTCCATTCTGTTAAAGTTTAGAGGACAAACCTCCATTGCCTGGAGGGTTGAGGGTTGGAGAGGTATAAGCCCCTGACTGGGTTGGGGGGCGGGGAGGAAGCATGGGCAGTCAACCCACAGGCTTTAAAGCAATGAACCTCTTCTAAGGGGGCCACAGCCTGGCCCCAGCAGGTGGGGCAGCAGGCCGGGTCAGGCCCTGGAGATGGCTCCAGGCCATGTGAGCCAGAAATTCCATCACCCTATGTACCTGCAGCATGGCGTGGGAGAGGGACTCATGGGCTCCTTCTGGTCCCATGGCCTCTTCCCCTGTGGCTAGAGGAAGACCAGCAAAAAGATGGGGTTCGAGGGAGAGACCTGGACTGCTCAGCTCTGCGGGAGACACTATAGCCAACTTTCAGAGCACAGAAGGTTCCCAACAACTCGCTCTCCCTGCTTCCCGAGCCCCTTCTTAAACCATGGGAACTGCCCAGCCCGAGACGGGACAGGGTGCCGTTTCGACTCCCAACCCAGACGATCAGGAAACAGTGAGAACAGTATCGGAGAACCCTAGCCACATCCCGGCCCTACTCCCCATGTCTGCTGTTGTCCAGGCCACACAGCCTGGGGTGCTGAGACCTGGTCTGCCCTGGCTGACGGCTGCACAGCCCAGCAGGCAGAAGACGCAGGAACCCTCAGCTTACTGTGGTCGTAGGGATCGGGCAGGCCACGCCCGGAGCTTCGGCTCTGGGTTCTTCCTTGGCTTCTGACTCCCTGTCTAGAGCAGCCAGGAGAGGCGGAAACCCCCTGCTTCACTCAGGGAAACAGTGGACCACCACACACAGGCTGAGGACCTCGTCCCAGCTGGCGACAGCTCCGAGTCAGACTCTGCACAGCACAGCCGCTTTGGAGTTGTCTACACTGGGGTTTGAATCCTGGCTCTGCCAACTGCTAGAGGTGAGACCTTGGACAAGTGGCTTCACCTTTCTAACCTTTGCCTTACTTGCAACGGCAGTCACAAGGTCGCTGTGGGGACAAGAAGGGTCACGTACTGAGCACAGGGTCTGGTACTCAGGAACTGCTCCCCCAAGGCTTCTGACGAGAATGCAAAGGATGGGAGTGACAGAGCAGACCCTTGGGGCTCTAAGGAGCCCCGGAAGTTACACCTCTTCTGACTCAGCTGGCTCTCCTGGAAAATGGGAACGCCGCGGCCACCTGTGGTCGTCCTCACTTCGTTGTGCCGGGATTTCAGGAACTGGAGACCTGCCCATGTACGAGTTTTCACCCATCTGTGGAGAAATGAGAAAACCATAACGTGGCACGTGTTTTCTAAGTCAGACTGTTCCCAAATTTGTTTTTTAAAGATATTTATTTTATTTATTTGAAAGGCAGAGTTACAGGGTTGTGGGGGAGACAGAGAGAGACAGAGACAGAGAGAGATCTTTCATCCAGTGGTTCAATCCCCAAATGGCCAGACCAGCTGGGGCTGGGCCAGGCTGAAGCCAGGAGCTAGGGGCTTGTTCCAGGGCTCCCAGTGGGTGCAGGGGCCCAAGCACTTGGGCCATCTTCTGCTGTTTTTCCCAGGCCATTAGCAGAGAGCTGGGTCAGAAGAGGAGCAGGGGCCGGCGCTGTGGCACGGCAGGTAAAGCCAGTGCCTGCAGTGCCGGCATCCCATATGGGCACCAGTTCAAGTCCCGGCTGCTCCACTTCCGATCCAGCTCTCTGCTGTGGCCTTGGATAGCAGTACCACTGAGGGCAGCACCTGGAGCCATGTGCTTCCAAGTCTGTCTCATCTGTGTGCCTGTAACCTCCTCGAGGGTCTCTTCTCCAATTTTCTACATCTGGTACCTAGCCTGGGCCCGGGCATGCAGGAATGTAGTAGTTGTTGGAGGCATAAGTGAATAAAATTATTACACCTGAGAACTAGAGAGACCGTCAGCCTCGTTGGTGACAGACCCGAGTCCAGTCTTAGTGCCCCCGACACCACTTTATCCCCTGAGTCACCTTACTCTCTTCTCGGCATCCTCACCCACTGAACAGAGGAGATGGGGTCAGTTGTTTAGGGTCTGTGACCCATGGACCCAGCTCAGCCTACCTCTTGCAGCCTCTAAATAAAAAGACCCTCCAAAGACATAGAGCTCAAGTAAGAACTCAAAGCCTTCAAGATATTTACAAACTAAATAGCCCGAGAAGGCCGGGGTAATTCCAGGGAAGAGGGTTTGGGCGTGGCAGAGGGCAGGGGAGGCACTGCATGTGCAGGGAGCCCAGGTGTGGGAACGAGCTCGGGGAGGCAGGGGGCGTGGTGAGGGACTGCCGCTGCAGGAGCTGGGCACCCCTTTCTTCCCCCAGAATCCTTTTATTTAAGGAATACAAACTTCATACAACATTTCATAACTACAACTTTAGGAACATGGTGGTTCTTTGCACTGTACCCACCCTCCCACCCCTCTTTCTCTTCCCTCTCCTATTCCCATTCTTAATTTTTTACTAAGATCTATTTTCAATTAGCTTTATACACATATGATTTACTCTATGTTAAGAGTTCGGAAAATAGTATAAAAAAAAAGCTGTTCCTCAACAGTCTAGACAAGGTCATTGCTTCTCAAAGTGTCAATCTCACTTCTGTAGGTTGCCTTTTAGGTGCTCTATTAGTTATCCCAGGTCAGGAAGAACATATGGTATTTGTCCTTTTGGGACTGGCTTATTTCACTAAGTATGATGCTTCCAGTTTCATCCATTTTGTTGCAAACAACAGGATTTCATTTTTCTTTTTGCTGCTGTGTAGTTTTCCATGGTGTATACATCCCATAATTTCTTTATCCAGTCTTCAGTTGATGGGTATTTGGGTTCATTCCATGTCTTAGCTATTGTGAATTGAGCTTTGATAAATATAGGGATACAGATAATTCTTTCATATGCTGATCTCATTTCCCTTGGGTAAATTCCCATGAGTGAGCTGGCTGGGTCATATGGTAGAGCTATATTCAGATTTCTGAGGTATCTCTGTACTGTATTCCACAGTGGTTTAACCAGCTTACATTCCCACCAACAGTGGATTAGGGTACCTTTTTCCCCACATCCTCGCCAGCATCTGTTGTTTGTTGATTTCTGTATGAGAGTCATTCTAACTGGGGTGAGGTGAAACTTCACTGTGGTTCTGATTTGCATTTCTTTGATGGCTAGTGATCCTGAGCATTTTTTCATGTGTCTGTTGGCCATTTGGGTTTCCTCTTTTGAAAAATGCCTGCTTAAGTCCTTTGCCCATTTCTTAACTGGGTTGTTTGTTCTGTTGTTGTTGAGTTTCTTGAACTTTTCATATAGTCCGGTTATTAATTCTTTATCAATTACTTGGTTGGAAATAATTTCTCCCATTCTATTGGTTGCCTCTTTAATTTGCTGAGTGTTTCTTTTGCAGTACAGAAGCTTCTCAATTTGATATAATCCCATTTGTCAATTTTGGCTTTGATTACCCTTTTCTCTCTCTCTCTTCCATTCCTCAAAATTTCTTGTTGCATTTATGTAGCTTTTAATTTTTAATGTAAAAAATTTATTTAAGAAGCAGAAAGACAGAGATAGATGATAGATAGATAGATAGATAGATAGACAGACAGAGGCAGAGGCACAGGGGGGAAAGAGAGAGAGAATATTCAGTCTAGTTCACTCCCCAAATGCCCACAACTGAGGAGTCTGGGCCTGGACCAGAGCCAGGAGCCAGGAACACAACCCAGTTCTCTCACTTAGGTGGTAGGAACCCAGTTACCTGAGATACCATTGCTGCCACCCCACATCTGCTGGACTAGTTGACAGCTGGACTAAAGGGGTGGAGCCAGGGATCGAACCCAGGCCCTTAGATAGCAGACATGGCATCCTCACCAGTGTCTTCACTGCTAGACCAAATGCCTACCAGTGCGCACTTTGAGAAGACTGAAAAGAGAAGGATTTTCATAGACGAATAACCAAGTCCCTCCACCCTTCCAGTGGAGACATGGAAAACACCAGGGCGGTCCAGGGCCTTGAGGAGGGCCTCCTGACCCCGAGTCTGGTTCTTGTCTGATCTTCCACATTTATTCATGAGTCACCCAGAGAACCGGCACGTGTGTCTTCTGTACCTCCCAGCAGGTGTTTCATTCGTGCTCAGTCGGGAGCCGCAGAAGCCTAAAGGACCCTGCTCAATGCGCTGGGCAGCTTTAGCCACTGGCGCGTATTGGGTGTGGGCGGGAGGGAGGTTTTAGTAATTTTCCAAAGCTCTGGACGCAGGCAGGCCCCTGGTGAACGTGCAGGAGTCAGTTGCTTGCCTCTGTGAAATGAATGAAGCTTCCCAGGAGCGGAGAGAGGAAGAAGCCGTTCACCCGACGCTCCCTCCCGCGCGGAAGCCGGCGCGCGCTGCACAGCAGCGTGGGAGTTCCTCTCTGCCCAGTGTTTCCGGTCAGGGCGCCTGGAGTCCTCACTGTGGCTGGAGGCGGGCGGCTGCCGGCGGCACCTCTTATTGTCAGATGGGGGAGGAGAGAGGGCGACTATTAAATACCGCCTTTTCTCGAGGCTGGGAAAGTGAGGCCCAGAGCAGGGGGGGACTCCTGGAGCCATTCAGGGGTGCGGCTGGGGTGAAAGGACCCCCGCTCCCAGCGCAGACCCTGCTCTGCGAGGACCTCTGGGCGTTTTGAACACGGGGGCGTACTCCTCCCTGTTAGAGCTCACTGGATTTGTGATCGGACCCCGCTGGCACCCCGCACCCCCTCCACCGCGTTACTGCTCCCTCATTTTGCTGGCAGGGGCCTTCCCTGTGCAGGGGCCTGGGAGCCCTGGGCCCCCCTCCCATCCCCTCCCCGGTAAAGCAATTCTGCTCCACTTTGCTTCTGAGACATGGGAGCTCGGCTTTTGTCGAAGGGTCAGAAGTTTGCCATGTTTTGGGAAGGAGAACTTGGGAACACCACAGGCAAGGTAAAGGGCCTGGGGTGTGCTTGGCGCTGTGTGGCCCCGAGCTCAGGGCACCGCCTCGTAGAGGCTTCCGGGTCGAAGCTGTGCTCCCCTTTGGTCTTTCAGTTGCTTCTCTCCTATGAGCCATACCTGGGTCTCGCTGGAAGTTCACAGGCTACAAAATCACTACCCCAGAGGCCACTGCTCTGCAGGGGCTGGGGGCATGACCCCTGCTCCAGCACCCCTGGGGCTTTCTTTGGAAACAAACTTGATCCTACTGCATTCTCCAATAAAAGATTTATCTGTAACACAAATGATATTTTGATCTCCACTTGTCTTATTCTCCATCCGCTCAGAACTTCACTGGGAAAGAAAAATATTATTTTTAAAAATGGTGTGGATGCATGGTCTAAACTAGGTCAGCAGGATTTTTTTCTCCTGAGATTCGGAGTCTTGAGATGGAGTGGACCACATTTAGTTGGCTGGAGATAGGATAGGCCCCGGAGGAAATGGTGGTGAATTTTCCTGCCAAGGCGTGGGCACCAGCAGCTCCCTGGGACCCTCCTTCCAAGGATACGATGCCCGGTGATCCTACCATACTCACTATTTACGCCCGCCCGCCCCCCCCCCCCACAACATTCAGCAAGGGTTTTCCAAGAGACTGCACATCTATCTAACCCATTTTCGTTTCTCATGGCTTCGTTTTAATCTATGTATGGATCTTCCATAATTTATTCAAACCAATTACCTATTGATGGATATTCAGGTTGTTTCAAGCTGTTGCAAATACAAAGGAGATTGTAATAAAAGTCCTTAAAATTCACTCTTATATCCTTGCTTTAGTAATGTTTTCTGGCATTAGATGCCCCTAAGTAGTACCCCTGGGTTAAAGAGCAAGTCTGTGTAAAATTTAGTAGACATCTCCAGATTACATTCCAAAACTATTGTGGTGAGTTCTCACTGCTATGGGCACTCAGTGATAAAAATTAAGAAGCCAACGTGTGGGAGAATATGCCCATTAACTGCGTCGCTTAAACCTTCCAGGTGGAAGTGAGATTTCCACGTTCCAACAGCATCATTCACGCCAGCAAAAATCCAGAAAGGACAAAGGCCCTTGGACAGGTTATGGGGGATGGAAGTGATGGCATTGCCACATACATAATGGCAGTAAAAATGAGCTCGCTGCCACTGCATGCTGTTAGATACAGCACATACTCGTATAATAGTGAGTCAAAAATGAAGACTCAAAAGAATAGCATTTGTTATTGCTAGAAACACCAAAATATAGGTAAAGCTGTGCATAAAAGAGAACTGTTTCAGAAAACCAGGGCAATATAGTTGCCTTAGGGGGAGAGGGAGAGCAGTTTGACAGTGAAGACACATATGGGCAGCCAGATGTTGGTGGTGGTGGTGCTGTTTCTTTGGCGCGGCCCTCTGGGGTTAGTGATACCCTAGATGGATAATCATTAGTTAACAGATCAATCGGTTTATTAATTGAGAGGACTCTTCAGGAGAAGGTGTCAGGAACCAAGGCCTGTATAAGAAAAAGAGAAAAAGGAAACGAGCACCAGGTGACAGAGACTGTGGGGACTCTCGCTTCCCGGATTCGGTCAGGGCCGCTGAGAGGGAAGCCGACATCTGCGATACAGAGGCCCTCCGGGAAGCCGTGGCTGCTCTGTCACAGCCAGTGCCGCAGCTGCTCTCTGGGTCGCTCTGTCATCCTCAAGGTCTCCGAGTGATCGGTTTCTTCCGATTTCGTAGGTTTCATCCTTTGGAGAAAGATAGTATCTGGAAATTTTACCTTGCCTTGGAGCGATGCACCCATTGATTGGGGTGAATCAGCGTCAGGCAGCCACAGAGCGCTGGTTAGGGTGTAGCACGAGGCTGCCCGGAGCTGAGCCAGCTGCCCAGTCCCTGTTCTTGCTCTGCAAGCCACACTCACCTCCGCATCACCTCCCTGGCCTCCCAGCCAGCTGGCAAGACCTGCAGGCCCTTGGGAGGGCATGGATGAACGGGCGCAGCACATTGGAATGGGGAAGACCGTCACCAGGAGGGATTACCAGGGACCTCTTCCAAATGGGGCCCTCTTGGTTTCAGTCCAGGGACATCGAGTCCCTCCTTGAGGGACACTGGGCCTGCAGCAGTGAGCTTCCCTCTCCAGCTGGCGCGGCTGCCAGTCCTCTTTGACAGGAGCGGGACTGAGTTGCTGCTGTGGCCAGGCCCTGGCTAGGCGGTCGGGGTGGGAGCACAGACTTCCATCTACTTCCATCTCCTGGGCTGCAGATGGGCGCTGTCTGCAGGCAGCGCTGTCATTGTTTGATGGCAGATGAAATACTCGCTCTCTCCAGCAGCATGAGGAGATGGTGAGCAGTCATTGTTATTATTTTTGATTTAGAAAAAGAGCAAGTCATGAAGCTCCAGGGCCTCTCAGCTAATGGGCACATAATTCACCAGGTGTTCCTAATGCATCCAGTTACAGACATTACAGCCAGCTCTCTGCTCTTCTCCCAGCCTTGGGCTGCGCAAACTGATGGGGCCGAAACCAACGCTGCCTGGACTGCTCCAAGCAGCCTAGGGGGTTTGCACCGGACTCCACCTGCAGGCCTGTGGTCCATGGCCTGGGCCCTCGGAGCTTCTGCATTTGGCATCAGTAGGAAGATGATTGGTCTCTCAAGTTGTTGCCTATCCCTTAATCCCACCCCAGCCACATGGGTTTGCTCGGTGTCTCAGGGTCTCTGAATTTTGCAACCTATTCTGTCCACAGTGGCTGGATTCCCCTTCCCAACTTCCCACCTTGAAATACTGCTCCTCCTTCAAGTCCAAATAAAATGCTCTCTCCTCCTTGGAATCTCCTCGTTTCTTCCGATCAGAATTAGACATGTCTCCTACATCCTCCTCTTGTAGCATCTAAGCTGTACCAGTGTCTCGTGCTTGGGTACAGCTCTGCCTTTCCCGTTTACTTGTAAGCTCCTTGAGATAGGGCTGACGTCAGGAGAGATGAGGAGCAGGAGGTGGTTAGCTCAGAGTTGGAACAAGGAGGCTGCTAAAGCGATGGTGGTTGCCACATAGCTCAAGGCACACTCAGGGGCAGGTGTCTGATGTAGGTGTCAAGACACTGGTTGGGGTTCCTGAATCCATACTGAAGGGTTCCAGTCCCCGCTCCGCTCCTGAGACCAGCTTCCTGCCAATGTGCACCCTGGGAGGCAGCAGGCTAAGGCTCAAGCAGTAGGTTCCTGCCTTCGAGCGGCAGACCCAGATGAGTTCCTGGCTCCCAGCTTTGGTCTTGTCCAGTCTCAGCTGTTGTGGGCATTTGGGGAGTGCACTAGCAGACAGAAGGTCTGTCTTTTGCCTCTCAGATAAAATGGAAAAAAAAAAGTAGTCTCATTCAGATTTTGATTGAATGCACATGGAACTGAGGACAAAATGACAAAGAAGCCAAAGCAATAGAAACTAGACTTTAAGTTTTGGCTGACGTCTGAACTGTGTGTTGTGAATGGGGAAAAATCGGGGAGTTTTGGTATAACACAGCCTGGGGGCTGGGAGGTTCCAGATTTAGTTGTGCAGAGCACAGAAAGTGAGTCAGATTGGTGGTTTGAATTTCCTGGTTTTGAGTATTTCTTGTGGATTCCACCTGCAGCTCCATCCAGCCTCTGGAGTGTGCCACACGGGGACGGTCTCCAGGGCGAGGGAAGGGGCTGCCTCTGACCACAGAGTGCTCCACACCATGGGGGGCGGGGAGAGTTTTTATCTGGCCTGAGTGAAGGGGTCATCGTTTTGATTTGAAATATTGTGTTATATAGAATGTTAATGATCATATTATTTGTAATACTGGGATTCGGATTCCAGATCTCGCTGAGCGGTGAGCAGGTTTTGCTGCAAAGGGCAACCTGTTGCAATTGTTGCTTGTGCAGGTCTTCAAAGCGTCTCCACCTTCTTTGGGTAGAGCCATGTAAGGGACATGGACTTGCACCTCCCGGGGAGGAGGCATAACAGCTGTCCCCACGGCCCTTGCCACCCCCAACAGCACCGTTTACCGAGCACTGCTTCTGTCCCACTTTCTCTAAGCCAGAATCTCTTCCAAAGGAAAAGCGACTTTGGCCAGCCTGAAGCCAGGATCCAGAACCAGGCCTGTGAGCCTTCACGGCTCATCTTTCCTAGCCCAGATCTTCCCTTTGCCGGTTCCCGGCTGGCTGGTATGTGGGGGCCTGTGTCCCTGAGCCCAGGTGGGGCCCAGTGCACCGAATGCACCCAGAGAGCTCGCGAGGGCTGGGAGAACGAAGAGATTCCCATCTTCCCCCAAATTTGCATCATTAAAAGGAAATCAAGCAAAAAACCACTGATTCCTCTGGTTGCCTTCTGAGCCTGTGCAACAGCCCAGAGACAGAATGGAAAACGCTCAGGCAGGCTGTGGACCCAGAGCTGTTCGCCTTGAGCTGGTGC